AGCAAAAAATACTCAATCGGAAAAGCAAAAAGAATCCAAAAATTTGTAGATAGTGTAAGGAGCCTCTGGGACAACTTCAAGCACACCAACTTTAGAATTATGGGGGTGCCAGAAGAAGACAGAAAGCAAGATATTGAAAACCTATTTGAAGAAATAATGACTGAAAACTTCCCTCACCTGGTGAAAGAAATAGACTTACAAGTCCAGGAAATGCAGAGAACCCCAAACAAAAGGAATCCAAAGAGAATCACACCAAGACACATCATAATTAAAATGCCAAGGGCAGAAGACAAAGAGAGAGTATTAAAAGCAGCAAGAGAAAAACAGTTACCTACCTACAAGGGAGCACCCATACGATTGTCAGCTGATTTCTCATCAGAAACTATGCAGGCCAGAAGGGAATGGCAAGAAATATTCAAAGTAATGAATAGCAAGAACCTACAGCCAGGATTACTCCACCCAGCAAAGCTATCATTTAAAATTGAAGGTCAGATAAAAAGCTTCACAGATAAGAAAAAGCTAAAGGAGTTCATCAACACTAAACCAGTATTATATGAAATGCTGAAAGGTATTCTTTAAGAAGAGGAAGAAGAATAAATAGGTAAAGATAAAAAATTATGAACAACAAATACATATCTATCAATAAGTGAATCTAAAAATCAAGTGAATTTAAAATCTGATGAACAGAATAACCTGGTGAATATAATAGAATCAGGGGCATAGAAAGAGAGTGGACTGACAATTTTCAGGGGACAATTCTCTATGGGGGTGCAGGAAGAGACTGGACAAAAACTGTATACTTATGGATGAGGTCAGTGGGGATGGAGGTAAGGGTAGAAGGTGGGGTGGGAACTGGGTGGAGGGGAGCTATAGGGGTAAAAAAGAAAAATAATTGTAATAATCTGAACAATAAAGATTTATTAAATTTAAAAAAAACTGAATTTGAAAAAACAAAAGCAAAATAAGTTAATGTTTAAAACTTTGCAAAGATTTGTGTTTAGGCATGTCTCTTAGCTATCTAGAATCTTAAAACTTGATGGTTAGTATTCATGGCTGCTGGGTGCATCCCTGCTCAACTTTCAGTCTCATATATTGATTTAATTAGACTTCCCTCAGGGTTCTAGGAGTTCCTCAACCATCCCCTGTAAGGGCATAATTTTGCATACAATATTACCTTATGTTAACAGTAACATTGAACAGCTAGTATGCATGCCTATGTACAGTAATATATTAAGTGCCTTAGATGGATTTTCTTATTTGATTGTTAAAACATTCCTATGCAATATATATTATTGTTATTGTTTTTAATCCTCACCTAAGAATATGTTCTTCATTGATTGCAGAGAGAGAGGAAGGGAGACGGAGAGATAGAAATAGTGATGTGAGAGAGAAACATCCATCAGTTGCCTCCCTTATGCAAACCCACAACCTGGATATGTGCCCTGACCCTCAACCCTTCAGTACTCAAGACAATGCTCAAACCAATTGAGTCACACTGTCCAGGCTGTCATACATGATTAATGTCTCCGTTACACAGATAAGGAAATTGGAGCTTAAAGAGGTCAAGTAACTGTCTTGTTTATTACTCTATTTTAAGTACCTTGTTCATAATAGCAACCTCTCCATAAAACAAATAATTGATTTAGTAAGAGAATTCTGTCGATATTGGAAAGCATCCTGGATCCTTCTTCCTACCTAGATAGCTGTTGTACTGGCAGAATCTGTCTGATGTAACCATTTAGAGGTCTGGAGTTTATTCAAAGTTAATTTCAGTCTATTTCAGCTTTTACATTGTAGCAGCTACCAATCCCCACACTCACCAACCTCATGCCAGGAAACAGTGCATGCATTCCAAGAGCACTTTGCAGAAGCCAAAGTGGGCAGTAAGACCTCATCTCTTTTCCCCCCCCCCCCCAAAAAAAAAGAGGCCAAGTAACTTTTCTCAGAGTCACATCCTATCTAATAAAAGAATAATATGCAAATTGACCATACCTCCATTACAATCCCAAGCCACGTCCACCAGCCAATCAGGAGCAAGTATGCAAATTAACCTAACCAAGATGGCTGCAGCCACAAAGTGAGCAGGAGGCTTGGGTTTCCCTGGCAATAGAGGAAGCCAAGTTCCTGGCCTGCCCTGGCCTCTGCTGAAGGCTACAAAGTTTCAATTATAAAGATAAATCCTAGATACAAGGGCCTCTGCTTGTGTTGTCATGTCAGGAGACATGGCCAGCCTGCTAACCACCACACGCCGTTCGCCCAGGTGGCCCATGCCCCAAGGGAACCTCCACCCTGATCCAGGAAACCCTTCAGGGCAAACCAGCTGGCCCCCACCCATGTACCAGGCCTCTGTCCTATCTAATAAAAGAGTAATATGCAAATTGACCATCACTCCAACACACAAGATAGCTGCTCCCATGTGTACAAAAGATGGCCACCACAAGATGGCCAACAGGGGAGAGAAATTGGGAGGGATCAGGCCTGCAGGGGAGGGCAGTTGGGAGGGACCAGTCCTGCAAGGGAGGGCAGTTGGGGGTGATCAAGCCTGTAGGGGAGGGCAGTTAGACGTGACTAATAGGGGAGGGCAGTTAGGGGCAATCAGGCTGGCAGGGGAGTGTTTAGGGGGTTACTGGCTGATAGGAAGAAGTGGTTAGGGGCAATTAGGAAGGCAGGCAGGCAAGCAGTTGGGAGCCAGCAGTCCTGGATTGTGAAAGGGATGTCCAATTGCCCGTTTAGGCCCGATCCCAGTAGGATCCCAGTAGGATCGGATCTAAATGGGCAGTCAGACATCCCTCAAGGCGTCCCAGATTGGAGAGGATGCAAGCTGGGTGAGGGACATCCATCCCCTCAACCCCCCACCTCCATGCATGAAATCCGTGCCTCGGGCCTCTAGTAGTCAATAACCGACCAAGCCAAGACTGGCCAAAATCTGTCCAATTAGAGAAGGTATGTACTTAACTATGATGCCAATATTGCCTTATTACAATAGTCCTATAATGTTCAGGCCAGCCGGAATTATCAAAAAGAGATTTAAAATATGCCAAGTGCCTTTTATTTAAGAAATGAAAATTATGATATACTTTTTAGAAATACTTCTATTCAAAGTGGATAAAAAATATTTTAAGCATTAGTGCTTAAAGAAGTAAACATTAGTTATCAGACAAATCCACTTTTATGAAACAACTCATTTTCCAACAATGCCCATGAGGTGTTTCTGTATTATCTAGTATTCTTAGAACTGCGAAGCAGCTTAATACACCTTCTGGCAGCTTCAGAATGCAGAAATCATTGGCAACCTCATCATGTTTTTATTTGCCAAGTAAAAATGAAAACACTATTACCTGTTCCCTAGTAGCCATCATTCGATAAGGGATATATAGTTATCTCAGGCTATACCTACTACCTCAAAAGCCATACACACAGGTACCCATGCATACATACGTGCCCATGCACATACATGTGCACATATGGACATGTGTGTGCACACGCATACATAGATCTAAAATTGAGCAATGGAAACAAATAGAAAAATAAAATAAAATTTGTCAATGGAGAAACCTAGAATAAAATATTCTGAGACAAACATAGCCTGATGCTATGGGTAACTTTAGGAAAAAATTTAAAGCAAGCAAAGTTTATGTAGGGCAAAAGCTACTTGTATTGCTATTAATAATACTAGCTAACATTTGGAGAATACTATGTGTGAGAAACCCTGCAATGAACATGAATTTATTAATATCTCACACCAATCCTATGAGATAGGTACTAATATTATTCCCACTTTACAGCTGAGGAGAATGAGGCATAAAGGCATTGTTAAGCAACATGTTGAAGTTCACAAAGCTACTGGTGAGAAAGAACTGAAATTTGAACTCAAGCATTCTAGTGTCAGAGTCCACGTTCAAACTACTAATACTTCCCCAGAAATACTACTACTAATGATTGTCTACACTTCTTATATCTCTGGTCTTATACTAAGCACTCTACATACATTGTGTCATACTAGAGGCCCGGTGCATGGATTTGTGCACCAGTGGGGTCCCTCAGCCTGGCCTGTGGAGATTGGGCCAAAATCAGCTCTCCAACATCCCCCAAGGGGTCCTGGATTGTCAGAGAGCACAGGCCAAGGGACCCCACTAGTACACTGGGCCTCTGGTATGCATATAAGATCTTTGGTTGATCTCTTCACACTCTTTCTCCCCACCCCCCCCCTTCCCTCTAATATTTATCAATCTGTTCCATGTTTCCATGCCTGTGATTTCTGCTCCTGTGTTGAGCGTCTACCCCCTGATGGTCAGTGCATGTCATAGCTACTGGTCAGTCGGTCGGCCGGTCACTTAGGCTTATATATATATAGACATGTTTTGAGGTTGGAGGTTTTAGTTATAAATTATTATGCAGCATCTCATTTGATCTTTGAAACAACCCCATGAAGTACCTATTATTTGTGTCCATTTTACAAATAAAAATACTGAGGCCCAGAGAAGTGAAGTAATTTGGCACACAGTCAAAAGTATCAACTGAGTTTCAGTAAACCCCCTATAAGTACAGTAAGGATCCATGTAATATAAAATAATGCAACATAATTTAATATACAATTTCTATCTCAGGGTCAGGTTCTCTCAGCTTTTCAAAGCCTCTGTCCTAAAGTGTTAATGGAAAAAAGTAACAATAGACTTTTTTTCCCAATTCAGGGGGAATGCAGTGACCCTCTATAGTAGCCATTTCCCCTTAGTAGGGAAGCACACCATGCAAGCTTTGTCACCAGAAGCCTGCTTTCAGGGCTTGGTATCTGAAAGAGTTTTGTTTTCTTTTGAAAATGGTTTCAGGAAAAGCCAAACTAGCAAGCTACCACTGGAGTCACCAGTCTTAACCATGGTTTCTGTAAAATGCTTCCTCTATTTAACAGTGAAAATAAACCAAGGACTTTTACTACAATACCATCTTCACTTGCAGAGAGAAAAAAAAAACAATGACAAGAGAGGCAATCTGGGTTGGCTTACCTCCACTTGAAGGGCTGCACATCCTTTCAGGAAGTCATTGATGTTGTTGATGCAGTCAGCTTCTGTTTGGGGATCCAGACAGTACTAGAGAAACATGGTCAAGTGTCACTTGGAGATTGTCATCCCAGATCAAACATGCCATATTCACCATTTGCTAATAACTGTACATGCAGGCTTTTTAAGGCAGGGAGCAACATTGCTGTCAATCCAGGAAGAGAAATAACCACCAAAGGAAGTGATGCAAAAATCTAAACGGTTGGTCTTTGTTTCAAAATGTCACCAAACCTTTAGTCTCAAGCCATCTCTACTTATAAACTTTTTCTCATGCTTTTTGCCTGAATATGGTGATAGCAAATCAGAGAAATCCAAATTTTTATTTTTATTTTTTTAGTTTGGTTTTGCTTTCAAGTTACTACCTCGCTCCTTCCTCTTCATGATGATTTACTTAAGTATATTTTACCCTTTGTTTTTCTCTGCATCTGATCACAAAAATCTACATTTTACCACCATTTTCTCACTGCTTTTTAAGTTTAAGAAATTATAGGCAAGTCAACTTTTTCAATAAAAATACAAACTAGTTCAAGAAGGCAAAACAACTACTCAGCGTCACATTCCTGCTAACCTTAAGAACATACTTGCATCACTCTACCTTTAAACTGACTTAAAGTGCCTGCTTTGAAAATTGTCCATTCTCGTGATCATGGGTTTCCAACATTAAAAATTTTGTATTTTTAAAAGAGAATAAGGGTAGTTTCACTTTGAATGCACGTTGTACTTGAAACATATATTTGTTTTTTTGTTGTTTTAACAAACCTATGTGCCATTGGGATTATTTCTCCTAATTGCTAAATAGCCTCTCTTTCAATTGATATTTTATTTCTTTAGGAAGAAAATCTACATTGATTTTAGTCAAACTGTCACTAAACACCATCAATATCTGTTAGAAATCATCCCATTGTTCCACAGACTATTATGTACCCCAAGTTTAAAACATGTCCTCGGTACACAGGGACATATCTCTGTGACAGGATAAACTTGTCAAGTTTGGTTTTTTTAGAATAAGCTTGTGATATGGGTGTTCTCCTGGTCCCCTAGTATCAGTGGCTTAACAGGCTTTTTTTTTTTTTAATAATACTATTCTTGGTGGCCAATTACTAAATGATAACATTTCATTTTCTGACTTTTTCAAACTACAAAATCAGTAAGAAAGAATATCCAACTCTAAGAAAGAGATTAAAGTAGGAGAGTCCCAAGATCAGGACAATAGAAAATCTCAAGCATTATATTATTGCTGCTCTCTCATAGTTAGCACTTCTAAAGATACTGTAAATGTTTCTTACCTTTTCTACAGAGCCAGGCCTCAGTCTGTTGATCAGTTTGCACAGCACTACCCCATTTTTCAGCGAGGACTTCAAGAACTCCTCCGGATCACAGATAGTTTTTTTAGGGGAATCTAAAACTCCCAGGGATATAAGCCATGTCACGATTTGCTCTTCTGGATTCATTCCTTAGAACTGTACGCTCGGAACAGTTCTCTGGGGCAGCTGCAAGGACGAAGCCACATCCGCGATTGCATCTGCTGTTGTCTTCCTTTTTATGAGTTCTCTTCTGGTGCTTGCAGAGCAAAGCTTTAAAACAACTTTCTTGGACAACGTTGGAACTCACTCAAAATATGGGATTTTAAAGCCTCAGAGATCACACTCAAAGATGTGGGAAGAGAATTAATGGAAAAACCTGGATAACACTGGTTTTCTTTTTCAAAATCTGCAAAACAAATTCATTAGACTAAAAAAAAAAGAAGAAGAAGAAATACACACAGGAGCACACACCAAGGGGAGAAAAAAAAAAAACAGTGCAAGAAGCTGTAAGGGAAGGAAGTGAGGAGGATGCTAGGGAGGGAGGAGAAAGAAGGAAGCAAGCGCTCTTGGAAAACGGAGGTGAGCCAGCACTTCAGGGGACCTTGGAAATGAGACACTCCTGGGCCAGTCTGGGAAAATGCTGTCAATAAATAGTCTAGCCCCAGTGAAAATCTGGCTTCTGTCAGGAGGAAGATGCCAACTGGCTTTTAGGTCAGACAGATCTGAGCCTCGTAGGGAGCTCTGCTGGCACAAAATGGCTCAAAGAAGGTAGGTTCATAAAAATTATTCCACGAAATGGCTGAATCTCCACAAGCTGTCTCACAGAGATGGTGTGTTATGATCATTGCTTGCAAAACATGTTGAGTTGCATGGTGACACAGTGCCAAGCAAATGAAGATTGTGCCTGCTGTCAGCCATCACTGTATATAGTCAGAAGCTAAAGGAATGGCATTTTACTTTGCAGCCAAAAAGTTATGTTTAGGGAAATAGGCTAAGGATAACATCTGACATCCTGTTTACTTGCATTCTTGAGCAATTATTTTTCTAGACCTGATTTCACTACACAATCCAGCTGCAGTACCCTTAACCGAGGCTCAAGCAGTCAAATAAATGGGGGGGTGGGGGGGGGAATCTTGAAAACAGAATTTTTTAGAACAAAAAAGCACTTGTCCTCTGTCTATACTAAATCTGATGTTTTCCAAACAATAAACACTTTACATTAAAAATGCTTTTCTGAAGATAAAAACTGGGCTATAACAAAAGTTCTTGAACTATTCTGGAACATTTTTAGGACCAGTCGAAATTGTCATACTACTGAAAAATTTATAAGGCCAACTTTAACAGTACAGTATAGCCTCCTCCTATTGGTAAATGCACGGAACTCATCATCACTACCCATCCTCATATGTGGGATCCTCCTAAGCTTCCTTTTCAACTCAGCTTTAGGCATATACTACACTACCAAATAATCATCTTATATTAGTCTCCTAAATGTTTCCCAAAGCTTCCCTTCTTGCCCTGTCATAACACTCATCACACTTTACTATTATTACTTTTTGATCTGTCTCCTCTGTCAGAATGTAACCTCCCTGGCATACGGGACTTCTCTATCTTGTTTAACACTGTTTCCAGCAGAGTGCCTGGTACACAGCAGATGTTAAAAAATGCTGAATGAATGGATGATTGAACTCATATAATGTCCAGGTATAGACACTACCTGATTATAACAAGGATTTTTTTTTTATGTTTTAATGTCTTAAAACATTTTTCCTTGCTAATGATTTTTATACTCATATTGAGGTACTAGAGGCCTGGTGTATGAAATTTGTGCACAGGGTGGGTGTCCCTCAGCCCAGCCTGCACTCTCTCCAATCTGGGACCCCTTGAGGGATGTCCGACTGCCCTCTCACAATCCAGAACTGCTGGCTCCCAACTGCTCACCTGCCTGCCTTCCTAATTGCCCCTAACCACTCCCATGCCAGCCTAATTGTTGTCTAATTGCTCCCCTACCAGCCTGTTTGCCCCCAACTTCCTTCCTCTGTCTGCCTGGTCACCCCTAACTGCCCTCCCCTGCAGGGTTGATCAACCCCAATTGCCCTCCCTTGCAGGCCTGGTCCCTCTTAACTTGCCCTGCCTTGCAGGCCTGGTCCCTCCCAAATGCCCGCCCCTGCTGGCCATCTTATGCTGGCCATCTTGTATCCACATGGGGGAAGGATCTTTGACCACATGGGGGCAGCCATCTTGAGAGTTGGAGTGATGGTCAATTTACATATTACTCTTTTATTAGAAAGTAGTGGGGGCCAGCTGGTTTGCCCTAAATGTTGTCCTGGATCAGGGTGGGGGGTTCCCTTGGGATGTGGGGTGGAGCCTATGGTGGTTGCAGGCCAGCTATGCCACCACCACCACTACCCCCAACCCCCGCAACCCAAGCAGAGGCCCTGGTATCCGGGGTTTATTTATCTTCTACAATTGAAACTTTGTAGCTTGGAGCAAAACCAAGCCTCCTGTTTGCTTCGTGGCGGCACCATTTCTGTTGGAATTTATGTATCTTCTATAATTGAAATTTATAGCCTGGAGCGGAGGCCAAGACAGGCCAGGGCTGCAGAAGCTTGGCTTTCTCCATCGCCCGAGGCACTCCTTGCCTCCTGCTCTTCTAGTTTCGAGGCTGCTGCCACTTCTGTTGAAATTTATTTACCTTTTATAATTGAAACTTTGTGCCCTTGAGTGGAGGCCCGGGCCCATCAGGGTTTGTGGAAAGCTTGACTTCCTCCATTGCCAGGGAAACCCAAGCTTTCTCCCTGCTCTCTGTGGCCACAGTCATTTTGGTTGGGGTTAATTTGCACACTTGCTCTGATTGGCTGGTGGGCATGGCTGGTGGACATGGTTTGTGGGTGTGGCAGAGTGATGGTTAATTTGCATATTACTCTTTTATTAGATAGGATAACTGACATAATAAACTACATATATTTAATATGTACAATTCAATTAATTTTAACATATGTATACAATGACATATGATACAATGACACACACACAATGACATATGATACAATGACATACACACACACACACACACACACACACACACAATCCAGATAAACCTTTCTATCACCCCCAAAAGTGTCCTTGTAAACTTTTAATCCTTCATCCTTCTCTTCTCCCAAAATCCCAGACAGCCACCAATCTATTTTCAGTGTCCATATACAGTATTATTTTGCCTTTTCTAAGATCTTATATAAATGAAAGTACCCAGCTTGGTACCTTTTTTTTGTCAGGCTTTTTTCAATTAACATCATTCTTTTTAGATTCATTCATGTTGTTGCATCTACAGTTTTATAACAAGGATTTGGAGGAGATCCAAGATGGCTGCTCGGATAGACATCTAGCCGCAGCAGCACACAACAATTTCAATGGAATACAACTAAGATGTAGAGTGGACATTGCCCAGAGCTACAGGTAGTCGACTGACTGAAAATTCTACAACAAGAAGGAAAGAGAAAACCAGAAGGAAAATCAGAGGAGCTGAAAAGAAAAGCCTAAGGTACGGAGACATGCTGCGCGCCCACGGAGAGGTCGCAGCCAGAGAGGAGGAGAGGGCAGGATGCTGCCTTTCCTTCCCTAGCAGGAAGGAAATAAAACCCCCAGCCTGGGCTGAACCCCTGAACCGGCAGCGCTGAGCCCCCCCGAACCGGCAGCGCTGAGCCCCAGTTATGGGCCAGACCCTGGGGACCCAGGCTCCGGCAGGAGGAGACGGGGCTATGAGGCGGAAAAGCGGCGAAAAGCAGGGCCCCCGGAGTCGCACACAATGCGCGCGCAGAGGACTGAATGTTGACTCTGATGCTGGGTTACCCTAGCCGGAAGAAACAAGGCCTCCGGCAGCGCTGAGCCTCAGTCCTGACTGCTCGAACCCCAGTTCTGGGCCAATCCCTGGGGACCCAAGCTCAGGCAGAGGGAGACGGGGCTGTGAGGTGGAGTCTGAGGAGAGCTGCAAGAGGCCAGGCTCCCGGACTCGCGCGCACTGCGCGCAGAGGACAGTCTGTTGACTCTGATGCTGGAATCCCCTAGCGGGAAGGAGAAAAAAAGCTCCAGGCTGGGGGAACGCTGCGGGGAGCAGGAGCCCCTGTCAGACGCTGGCCAACCGGGAACCAGCAAGGAGCCGGGCGACAGGGCCCCTCGGGGGGAGGGGTGCCCCTGAGCCTTCCACCGCTGAGCGCGGGCAATGGAGCCAAGGCCAGGGGGGCTGCTTCCTGGGCGGCGCAGTCCCGGCAACAGGCTGAAGCAGCGCAGGAGCCCGCGGAGAACAAAGGGTGCCACAGGCCAACCTGCTGAGCTCCCAGGACAAGGAGGAAGAAACCAAAGAAGTTCTCAATGTGAAGAAATCAAGTGAGAGCAAAAGATAGTAAAATTACTTAAGAAAGAATACAAGAAGATCTTGAAAAATCAAAGACTAAGTCAGAACTCAACTCAACAGCCAACATTGCAACATAAAGGCGTTTTAAAAAAAGAAAAAAAAAGGGACAGAATGTTGGAATAGTGGCGGCCAGGCCTAGAGTGGCCAGGCACAAGGCAGTGGCAGCCAGGCCCGGAGCAGCAACGGCCAGGCCCCAGAGCAGCAGCAGCCAAAACCAGAGCATCAACAGCCAGCACTGGAACAGCCAGACCTGGGGCAGTGGTAGCCAGGCCTGAGGCGGAGGCGGCAAGCCCAGGGTGGCCAGTCCAGGAACAACCAGACCCGGAGTGGCTGGGCCCGGAGAAGCCAGGCCCAGAGCAGCCGGAGTGGGAGCAGCCAGACCCAGAACAGCAGTAGCCAAGCCCAGAGCATCCAGGCTGGGAGTGCCCAGTCTCGCAGCGGCCAGGCCCAGGGCAGCCGGGCCCAGAGCAGCCGGGTCGGGTGCGGCCAGGCCCGGAGCAGCGGCTGCCAGGCTGGGAGCGGCCAGGCCCGGGGAGCAGCCGGGTCGGGTGCGGCCAGGCCCGGAGCAGCGGCTGCCAGGCTGGGAGCGGCCAGGCCCGGAGCAGCAGCAGCCAAGTCCAGAGCAATTAGGTCAGGAGCGGCAGTGACCAGACCCGGAGCAGCTGGTTGTGGAACGAACCAGAGCAACAGAGGCCAGGCCCTGAGCAGCCAGGCCCGGAACAGCTCGCTCCTTGCC